TAGGGAAACAAAACTGCACACGAAGATGGGAACACATACAAAAACACCATAGAGGAAACCATGGAAACACGAGTTTAATATGGTTTGGCAACTCTTACCTATGTCAATGGAAATGTCTCAAGAAATATGTTCCATCACAAATAAGCTTACAAGTTTTCCAAACAAAATTGAAAAACCCCCCTCCCCAAGTAGTGTATCATCCTACAAACCCAAGTCTCTCATTCAAGAATTACTGGGAATGGTAACAATCTTCTCACACAAGAGACTCTCATATCTCTTACACCCATCTTCTGGCTTAGGTACATGACTGCATCTTCAGTTTGGGCTTGGGGTGACTCTTCTCATGTCAGTGACCTCTATTTATATTGATGGAAATGGCTTCTAAAAAGACTTTCAAGAGTCGCTTCCCTATCACTAGGATGGACTCCGATACCGACTTAAGAATGTGGGTTTGAACACAATTCAACTCCACGGAATCAATAAGGTGATGATTATTTTCTGCTTATATATTGTTTTAACTTTACCTCTAGCCAACACAATACTTGGTTTTCCCCAATATAAAAAGCTACAACTTGTCCTCGTTTACCCATCAATTTGTATTTTGCCAAGTAATTACTAGGTTTGGAGAGACGATCATACATAAAGTTCATCATTTGAGTGGATTTAACTGAAACCTAGCTAAGAATGACAAAGTAACCAACCCATCCGGCTTCTACCAATAAATATCTTAAAATCACGATATAACTGACTATAGACTAAAATAAGCTAAAATTTCCAGTGTGCAGTACCTCCAACTTATCTAAATGAACTATCCTCCAACTTCTGGCATGAAGTATGCATGCATTGACCATTCAGAGAATACTAAAATAGCTCAATAAGAATTCAATTAAACAGAAAACAATAATCAATCAATTGGTTTAACTTTGAACACTCTACACAACAAAACCCAGAAAGAGCAAACTCATTCCAACTATCTCATGACCCCAAAATTGATCTTCCAATCAGAGGAAAAGGGTTACCAGCAGAATTACCGAACATGAAGAGATTCAGCCCCAGAAGCAGGAAATGTGTGAGAAGCAGCAGAACCAATAATCAGTTGCGGAGGACGGTTCGAGAATCGACCCCTTTGCAAAATCTTATGCATAGCCATTGAAAAACAAAGGAAACTCAATCGATGAATGAGAATTGTGATGAGTGTTGTTGGATTAGGGAGAGAAACAAAAACATTGAACAACAATGACTTGGATAAGGACAAATATTACAATTATGTTACAATCTGGCTGATTGCCCATAGTGGGCAATTTACGAAGTTATTTACGTAACTGGGTCTCTTTTTAAATAATGGACACTTTTAGGATTGTTTATAACGGTGTCGCTATAGTTCACATTAGGTTCAAGGAAGTCATGAAAGCCATGTTGATAAAGTCGCTACAGCCCATAGCTACATTAAACGGTTTGACTGAAGTCACTATAGCCTATAGCACCCCATTTTTAATATAAAATAAAAATTCTAAAAAAATAAGTAAATAATTTTTTTAAAAAATACGAATATGTAAAAGTGGCGCTATGGCCTATAGCGACACAGTATCGCTATAGACCATAGCGCCACCAGTTAAAAATTAAAATATATTACAAGAAAAAAAAAATATAACATAAAATAATACAGAAAAGATAAATATATAAATATCAATTATAAGAACTTAATAAAAAAAAATTAAAATCTAGAAAAAACAAATTAAGTAAATTATTTATAAAAAAACGTAAAAAAATTGTGGCGCTATGTCAAATGAATAATAAAAAATAAAATTTGTAAAAAAGAATTTAAGTTAATAATTAAAAAAAACAAAAAACAAAAAATACTAGTGGCGCTATAGGCCATAGCGCCACTTTTAAAAATAACAAAAATACATAAAAAGGAATAAAAAATATATAAAATTAAGAAATTACAAAAAATATACATTTATAAATATAATGTTATTGAAATGAATAATAAAAAATAAAATTTGTAAAAAAGAATTTAAGTTAATAATTAAAAAAAAAAATGTTGGTGACACTATGGCCTATAACGACACTGTGTAGCTATAGGCCATAGCGCCACTTTTAAAAATAAAAAATATACATAAAAAGGAATGAAAAATGTATAAAATTAAGAAATTACAGAAAACATACATTTAAAAATATAATGTTATGTGAAACGAATAATAAAAAATAAAATTTGTAAAAAAAAAATTAAGTTAATAATTTAAAAATAATAATAATAATAAAACGCTGGTGGCGCTATGGCCTATAGCAACACTGTGTCTCTATAGGCCATAGCGCCACTTAAAAAATACATATAATTTAGTTTAAAATTAAATTTTTACAGACCTTGATTTTAATTTTATAAATATATAATAAATAAACTCAGTTTATTATTTTTATTTGACATTTCTATTATTTTCGTTTTTTTTCTTTCTTATAGAGTGTTGCTATGGACTACATCATTTTTGTTAGTCCATCAACTGTGGTGGCCCAGCCTATAGCGACACCAATGTGACTCATTCCAGTCCAACTTACACAAAAAAAAAAATTTGCCACGTGTCACGGGTGTCGCTATGGCCCATAGCGACACCGTTGTAAACAGCCCCAAAGACGTAAATACTTACAAAATAGCCCCATTTACGTAATAAAGTTTTAAAAGGACCCCACTTTGGTAAAAAGCCTTACAATCTTTACCTGCACCCGATTTGTTCAACAACTAACATTTCATATATTTTTTTAAAAATAAAGTATAATTAATGAAAATTATAAATAAAATTAATTATGTTTTTAGTAGTAATTACTTTTTTCTCCAAACTTAAAATTTATGTTTTTGTATCTATAATTTCAAAAAAAAAAATTCTGTTTAAGTTCTTGTATAATTTTTTTAGTTACTCAAATTTAAAATATGTATTTTAAATCTTTAAAATATAAAAATTATTATTTTAATATTTAAATTTTTAGTTAATCAAATTGAATAATTCAAATTTTATTTAAAATATATATTATATTTTAAATAATTGTTATATTTAGTCTTAATATAAATAAATAGAGTTAATTATAAATTATAAAATTATATTAACAGTATGATTTTAGTAAGTTTATCTATATTTATTCCGTTTAATAACTCATGTTCTACATCAAATTTCAACAATTTAACTGTTAAATTTAAAAATTTTAATGCATAGATCAAGATTATAATTTTAAAAAAATTTGAAAATTATTTGATACTTTATTTTAGAATTATTTATCAATTTGAATTAATCAAATGAAGTGTCAAATAATTTTTTATTTATTTTTTAAAATTTTTAGACTTTATCTATGCATTAAAAACTTTAAATTCAACAGTTAGATTGTTGAAATTTGATGTAAAACATCAAAATTAGACTTACTCATAAAGTAAATGAATCATTTCTTATATATATATATATATATATATATATAACATTGTGTCCATGATTATTATTATGTTTACCATCTAATCTTTTCTTTTTTTAATTATAACATACAAGACATACATATAACTTATAGTTAATGATTTTCATGAAATGATTTATTAGATGTAAAAATGACTTTAGACATCCTAACTTCCTTTATCTACTAAATTACTCATGTGATTTCTATATCACAAACATTAAAAGAATAAAGGACCTTTAAAATTTGTGCTCCATATTAAATACATGATGTCATACGATTACTTTAATTGAGAAAAATCAAGTGTAATCGCCTGATCCTTGAACACTTGGAGTGTGAAAATATGAGTGACCTAGTTAACATAAATATTAACTTTGAAAATCTAAGCTCTAATTAGACTTGTATAATTTTCAATGTTTTGCTCGTACTTTTATTTCTTTAGCCTGATTTTATTGATTTTCATGATTTTCACGTGTTATGGTGATTACTCAAGGACAAACATGTATCTAAGTTTATGGTTGTTAGGTGCATTGCATCTCATGTCATGTATTACATAATTCATGTGACTTTGCATGTATTTTGTGTTAATTGAGATTAGTTATACTCTTGTTTTCCTTTTTGTCATTTTGGACTCTGAACTCTTTTTATATATGTGTTTATTTTAGGGATATTGTTATCATATAATTTAGCCTTAAAAATTGAAGATTTAGAGCTTGAGTTGAGAAAAAAAGAAAAGTAACAAACTTGAAAAGTTGAAAAAAAAAACGAAAGAATTAACAATAAATGAAAAGGAATTTGAAAAGAATTTTTATAATTTAAATTTAATTGTACTTCAACTTGATTTGTATCCTAACTACTGACTATAAATAATTTGTTTAAGATTAAGAAAAAGATTATGAACAAATTATTTTTTACCACGTAGATTATTATTAGAGTAAAATGATATCTCTAATAATAAGTTATTGTCCAATATAAGGATTGAATCCAAATTCTTAATTTAAGAATTTAAGTATTGAATCATTTTAACTAACAACTTTTACCATCTCATTTATGTTTTTCTCTTTATTATTATATTATTATTTAATGAAGCATTTGATCATAATTTTTTAATAATTTTAAAATAGTAGGCATGTCGCATGGAGGTTTACGATTATGTGTCTTGATTCAAATAATTTGTTTCTAAAAAGATTTCTTTAATTTAAAAGTCTATGTTTCGTTTATTCTCGTCTATTAGATTACAAATTTCATTATTACAAAGGAAGACCAGCTGCTATTATATTTTCTGTAAAAATATCTTAAAATAATAATACATTAATAAGTTTAGTATGTGCGTCTCTCTACTTTACATTTAATATAAATATAATTTTTTTTGTGTACACATTATTTTTTATACTTTAAACTTTTTTAATAATAATGAATAAATATCTAGAAAAAAGTTATACTATATAAAATTTTGATTTATAATGTTAGAATAGTGGATTAAGCATAACTCAACCCTACAAAACCGGCTTATATGGTGAGGGTTGCTTTCCACTTATATACTATTTAATTGTCTAATCTCTAGTCGATGTGGGGCTTGGGTTTTTCCCAATACACCCCGTCCAGCATTATTAGGCTTGGTACGTGGATAAATGGTGGGTGGCCCTTTTTAATGATCTAAGATTGGCGGGACTTGGATTCTTTCTAATACACCCCCTCTTGCCTATGAGGCATACATCAATGGTGGGTGACCCATTTTTAAAGTGGATCTAAATGGCTCTGATACCATGTTAGAATAGTGGATTAAACCTAACTCAACCCTCACCTTACAAGCTGGTTGTGTAGGGTTGAGTTAGGCTTAATCCACTATTCTAACATATAGTAAGTGTATGTAGAAAGAAAGTCTCATAATGCCTTTTATCCAGTGGTTATTTATAGTGGAGAAGAAGAGAAAATGTTGAATGGGGATGGGGCTTCTTGTAGAAGTTGATTTGTCAGTATTTGCAATTGGGCTGGATAAAGACCCAACAGAGAAAAGGCTTGGTTGATTGGGCGCAAGGGTTACCCAATTCCTTAAATTTTGGCTTTAATCAAATCTATTCAATTATCAATGCTTCGTTGCTTCTGCTCATAACAGTAATACGTCATACTCACCAACTCATTCGGCCCATTTATGATTTATTCCATTCTATTTATTTATTTATTTACTTACTAATGACAGAGAGATAAGTAATGTGTGTGTGAATCCGAACAATGATACACTATCAAAAAACGTATTCCGAATCATGTTCTGAATATTAAAATAGTAATATTTTTAAATAAATTTATTATAAAATAATTATTTAAATTATTATATTAATCGTTCAGAATGAATTTGGGAAGATACATTCGGAGCTGTATCATTTTTGGTGCGAATCCTCTTTAGAAAAAATTGAACGATGCTGTTTGAAATATTTGGCAAAAGTGAGAGTGTGTGTGTCTGGGGTGTGGGAGACACTGAAAATGACAGGGCTGCGAGTTAAGGCCATTTTGCGTGTCATGAAACCAAAACGAGACACCAACGCAGTCGTTTTGGACCCCATCATGCTGCACACTCAAATCACGTACTTGTTAGCTACCGCCGCCGTCTCTCGTTAACTATACTATAATTTTAAAGTTTAAACCATTCTACATTCATTGCTCATTACTTTTTTTTATTATTATTTATTTATTTACCAAAATTCTGCATCTATCATCTTCTCAAACACACCAAACTCGATTATGCTGCTGAATAAAATTATAAAACACTCTCTTTGTAACATATTCTGGGTGTGGTCCAACATTACATGACCTTATTTGCACTCTATTCTAGAATATAGCTTCATGTCATTCCATCGATTA